TTCCACGCGTGGGGGGTGGAGAGCGCACTACCACTGCCTTGAGGGGGGAGAGCTGTTCCATGAGGGTGGGGGGAGAGAGGCTCCAGGACTGTTCCACGCGCGGGGTGGGGGGCAGATGGGCGGAACCAATCTCATAGGGAGAAGGAGGCACTACGAGGACCCAAGTGGGAGGGGGATGAAGGATGATGGCGCGGTCCGGGTTGGGGTGGCCGAGCGAGGTGGAACGTACCACTGAGGGCCGGGAGAACGGGGGTGCCCAGGGGAAAACCAGTTGGGATGTACCATCCTCTTCCTAGGGACGGGGTGGGCTGTACCACGTCCCCAAAAGGTCTATAAGGAGCTTTGGAACGTACCTGCTCGGACTGCCGTTGGGACGTACCAACCTCACACGCCAGGGGGAAACGGCGCGTACCAAATGCCTCCCTGCCTACGGGCTGACAGTTGGGCGGCTCTCGACTCCTCGGGGCGGGGTTTGGAATGTACCATGTGAGCCCAGGGGAAAGGGGGTCTGAAGGGCTGTACCGTAGGGAGGGAGTGGGATGTACCAAATGTGCCAAGAGTAGAGGGGGCAAATGGGACGTACCATTCTTTTGAGGAGGACTGGGAGGAACCATTTTCACATACAACACAGGGAGAGTTGAGACATACCATCCTTAGGAGGTGTCGGGTGTACCACCGAGAGCTGCGGGGCTCAGTTGGAATGTACCATAATCACACGGAGGAGGGCAGATGGTACCATCCTAGCAGGCAGCTGGGTGCAGGGGACAGGGGTAGGTGGCAGGCGTTGTGCACACACGGGAGCACCTGTGCCCTTTTGCTCTGGCATGTGCATATGCTCCTTACACACACGTGTAGCCCTTATACACTCAAACTTGTGCCCCCACTCATGCACATGACACAGCCGGGCATGCAGGGGGGCCCCCCCCCCCCCCCCAGCATGCATGCTCCCACCTGCCCTTGCACACGTGCTCCCACTCTGAATGTTACCAACATCTGCTAAAAGTGCAAATGGGCCCAGGCCCCACTGGCCGCCCGCCCGCCCTGCTCACTGTCTCTGCAGAGTCCGGGAAGGGGGAGGAGATATCACCTCCAAGACCAACCTCTAGCCTGCTGGGGTGGGCACCCTCTTGGAGGGGGGACAATGCAGGTTCCCACCCCCGCTCCAGCTGGGCAGGGCCTGGAACCCAGGAGTCCTGCGCCTGGGACCCCCGAGGAACCTAAAGAGCCACTGCAGCCTCCCCCCAGCCAGGAAATGCTGGGGTGGGGGTGTAACCCTGGGTGCTCCGGACTGGGGGTCCTACACCTCCCAGTCGGGTGCAGGGCTCCCTCGTAGGCACCAGGGGGCGCTGCTCCCTCTCACACCTGCAGTCCCCTTCCAGGTGCCTGGGGCTGGGGGGGAGCTCTGCAGGGCCAGGGGGCTCCCCAGGCAGCCAGACATCCCTGCTCCCGTTCCCCCGTGCCCCCCCCTGCCCCACCCCTCCAGGCTATTTTGGGATTTCTGCTTCTGGCTGCCGAAGCCTGGAGGAACTGATGCAGAAAGGAGAAGCCAGGCCCCAGCCCT